GTTAGATAGAGTTTTTAATATTGTTGTCATTGTAAATTTAAATTCAATAGTGTAACAAATATTAATTGTTTTGCAATTACAGATATTGTAGAATCCTGTGATGGAGTGGAATGTCAAGATCAGAAAAATTTAAAAGGGAAAAGTGTAACTAAAATTATTTGCAAATCTGGAGTGCAATCTCAGGATGTAAAAAATCCCTTGGGAACAAGTTTAAGTGAGTTTGTATGCAAATGTGTAGAAGGAATATATGATATATCTACAACTCTCTCCATTAAAGCCAAACCTGGAAATCAAAATGATGTTAATCAAGGTTAGATAAAATTTTGTTGATCTGATACATGTTAGTTTCAGTACAATATTAGTAACAAGTATTAATTGTGTTTGCTCTTGTAAATGTTACAGAACCTTGTGAAGCTGCAAGAAAAGAACATGAAGTGTAGTCTCAAGATAAACAAAATACAACGCAGGAAACAAGCATAAGTGATATCATTTTCAAATATGCTGGTGGAACATACGATATCTCAACTCCATCAGCTCTTAAAGAAATAGAAGAAGACAGTGTGGACAACTGGAATGACCCGGCCAGTCATTTGAGTATTTTAGCCTCGTTCCCCTATTTATTGCCTCCACTATGTTATATCATGGTTATGTGACTTACCGGAGTATTATTTTTGGTTTCGGGTGAGTTTCAGAGTAATAGGACACATATCCCTAAGTTGGAGGCTTAAGTTGAAAGATTTGACTGTAGTTTGACTTTTATGTAGACGACTCCAAAGTAGAGTTTTGATTGTTCCAATAGCTCTGTATGGTGATTTTTGACTTAAGAGCGTGTTCGAATATTGATTTGGAGGTCCGTAGGTCGTTTCGGCTTGAATTGGCAAAAGTTAGAAAGTTAAAGGTTTGGAGGATTGAGAAGTTTGACTGGGAGTTGACTTTATTGATATAGGGGTCAGATCACAATTCTGGAAGTTTGAATAGGTATGTCATGTCATATATGACTTGTGTGCAAAATTTGAGGTTAATCAGAGTTGTTTTGGTATAAATCTACATAAGTTTTGGAAGTCGGATGTTCATAGTTTCAATAGTTTTGAATTGGATTCCGATTCGTAGATCTGATATTGTTTGATGTGATTTTAGGTCTCGAGTAGGTATGTTATATGTTTTGGAACTTGTTGGTATATTCATACCGGGTAAGGGGGTCCCAGGTGTGATTCAGATTAAATCCGAAATCATTTTGGGACTTGGTTGATTGCTGAACCATTGTTGAGTCTAGTGCAATCGCACCTGCGCAATTTGGGTCGCAGGTGCAGCACCGCAGAAGCGTCCCTCAAGCCGTATAAGCGAAAATGGGTCTGCCCAGCTGGGACCACATGTGCGGTCAGTGATGCACAGAAGCGAATGCTCAGAAGCGAATGCGCAGGAGCGACTGGCCTTCCGCAGAAGCGCAAGCACAGATGCGCTTAAGGGTCCGTAGGTGCAAGATTTTAGGGGCCTTAGTGAGGGCCGCACCTGCGATGGAAGTTCCGCAGGTGCGAAGCCGCAGATGCGGCTAAGGTCTCATAGAAGCGAGAATCGATTGGCAGAAAAGAGAGTGTTCGAGGGTTTAATCCCATTCTCCTTCTTTTGACCTAGAGAGCTCGGGTTTTGGAGATAGTTCGAGAGATTTTCAAGGAAATCATTGGGGTAAGTGATTCTAACTGGGATTTGTCTATTATAGATGAATCTGTCATTATTGTTTTTATTTAATTAGTGATTTGAGTTGGAAACTTTGGGAAAAAATTGTGAAACTTCTTAGACCAAATTTTGGGGATTTGAAAGGTGATTCGAAATCGGATTTGAGTAATTTTTGTATGGTTGGACTCGTTATTGAATGGGTATTCGGATTTCGCAAGTTTAGTTGGGTTCCGAGACGCGGGCCTGAGGCTAACCTTTTGAATTGACTTTTTGTTTCTCTTTAAAGATTTTAACTTTATAGTTCGAAATAGCTTTCTATAGTTTGTATTTATAGTATGAAATTATTTTGGCTAGATTCGAGTTGTTCGGAGTTAGATAATCACGGAAAAGTCTTAATAGTGGATTGAGTTAGCGTGTTTTGAGGCAAGTGTCTTGCCTAAATTTGTGTGGGAGAATTACCCCTTAGGATTGGTATTGTTTTGGTTAATTTTAATATATGGAAGCTATGTACGCAAGGTGACGAGTGCGTACACGGCCTATGAAGATTCTTTCCATGCCTTTAATTGAGTTTCCATAACAGGTTATATTCATCATTATTAGTCTATCTTCGCATGCTTTACTTGAAATCATTAATACTTATCTTATCTCTTATTTGCTAATTGTCTTTACATGTTTAGTTGAAGTTATTATTTCTCTCAATTTTCTTATTCATTGTTTAACCGTTGAGTTCCTTTACTTGAAGTTGTTATTTCTTGGAATATCTTATTATTGAATTTGGTGTTGAAGTTATAGAGGTCGTGATTTATATTGAAGCAAAGTTGTAAATTTGTTGAAATACCATTCTTATTGAGTTAATCATTTTCAGTGGCTATTGTTAAGACTCTTGTACATATTGTAGTTGATCCACTACAAAAAATGGGTAAATTGCGGAGGTTTATTTGCGGAGGATAAAAGTAACCTCCGCAATTTACATAATTTTGCGGCAATATATTAGCCCCCACAAAATTATACAATTTACGGGGGTCTAAAACATAAGCAACCCTAAAATAATAGCGGGTAATTTATTTCATACTCCCTCCAATTTTTTCCCAATCTTTTTTGCCCTAGAAACTTCCGCCTCAACAACAACAAAATACTCCCACCGCTTCTTCTTCATTAATCAAGTTCTTCGCTTCTTCTTCTTTTTCTTCTTTTTCTTCTTCTTCTTCTTCTTCTTCATTAATCAACAAAATACTCCCACCGCTGTTATTCACTGAAAGTGAAGGTTTAGCTGAAGAAGTGGATCACTTATCTCCTCTATTAGCATTTTTCTATACTTTTGAATAGTGTCCAACCAGTTCTTTCTGGTAAGTTTCTAGATTCATATGTTATAATATGTACACATAATTTTCAAGATTTGATGTCACAACTTTAAGATTTTTCTTTCTTTCCTTATTTCCCCTCATGGATTTTCTGTAAATTTTGAATTTTTGTGTGTATTAAATGGTCGATCTATATGAATTTTTGTGTGCTTTTTCCTTGCTTTCTTTGTGCTTTTGGGTTTAATGGTCGAATCGACCCCTGGTTCAATGAAGCATATGTGAGCCTTTAGTTCGAGAGCTTTTCTTCTGTATGTATGTGACATTATCTACATAAATGGTTGTTGCACTAGGTTATTCATAAGTTGTTGACCTCTTACTAGGCTCTTTCAAGTTATTTTTCTGAAATGTGGTGCTAGTATTTTGAAAGATTCAAAGAGAATGGATGAAAGAAGAAACACTTTTCATATAAATTTCTTCATTTAAAGAAGTATTCATCTTTTAAAGAACAATGTTCTTACTTAGACATCATCTTCAATGAACAAAGATTCCTCTCCTTTATCCTTAATAGTACTTTAATGTTGACATTAGCCTACTGCAAATTCATTCTTTATATAATTTAAGCTGATTATGTTTATTACAAAAATAATATTAGACAATGGCATGCAAGGTCGGCAGTGACTGTATGTTGTGTCAGAATGGTGTCTTGCAGCATACTAAATACCGTATCACACCTCTGATTGTTGAGAAGAATCTTAGTATATTGAGGATGATGATAATGAAACAGCACAACACATAATTAAATTATTTTAAAGAAAATTCTGAGCATAAATTAAGCAGAAAGTTCTAATTAACTACAAGGTACAGAAGTAAAACAAATCTTCAGTGGACACAAGTCTAATAGTCCATAGCATTTTAAGCAATCATGGGATAAAATGGATAAAATACCACATTCATAACAGAGAATTTTTGGATTTTTGAAGCAGTTGATTTGTATAGTTTGTGAAGATCTGTTATATTTGAGTGATTTTTCTCTGTTAATGATTGGATTGGGATGTAAATTCTGAGGAAATGGAATGAAGTGTGTGGATCCTTGTGTTTTCCACTGGAGATTACATATTGGCAATTGATTTCTGATTTTATTTCTTTCCTATAGCTCCACATATGTGCCATAATTGCAATCTTTCTATTCTGTAATGTAGTACTAGTTCATACAATCATTAAGAGGAATGGCACAAGATCTAGTGAAATACTGCTAGTAGTAGTATTTTTATTGGTAATAAGATATATCTAGTGTTTGGATACAGTATTTGGTTTTGCACTATTCTGACATTGGGTATGGGAACTGTTGGCTTGCAGGTGTTTCAGTGAGGTAATAGTAAATTATTCACCCACTCATAATACATGATATACATGGGTAGGTCATCTCTGATTTCTGTGAAACTATTCTAAATAAACCTCTAGCTTCTGAAGAAAATTTTTCTGGTTTCACCTGTGTCATAGGGGATAGGGATAGCTACAATAACCTGTGGCATAGGAGTAAATTTTGTATATACTAACAAAATTTGATTGTTGAAGCTCCATTATATCCTTTAAGTGCCATGTCCACCTAGTTGTATGAACTTCTTTGCAATGGAGCTGATTTTCGCTTTTTGAATGAAGTGCAGTGTGTACCTGAAACCTAGACTATGATTGAAAAGGAGTTGACTTGGTATTTTCAGTTAAGATTAGAACTCTCTGAGCATGTTGTAGGTGCATGCTAATGCTTGAGAATATCTTAGTGTTTTCCTGAGAGTAAGATTGGACATTTGTTCAATGCATAGCCTTGTCATTGTCTTGGGGAGTTTACTGCTATTTGTATAGAATGAAAGTTCTTTCTTTTAAAAAAAAAAAGATGAATGCTAAGCGTATAATATAATTTGTAAAGGTAAAGGTGTTTTTACTTTGGGTAAAGCTAATGGATTTTCTTTGATTCCGTTGCCTTCCNATTTATGATTATAGATGGCTTTTGTTGTATGTATTTATTGCTTTATAGTTAATATTCTGTATTCTAATAATAGATAACTTATATTTTCTCTTTATATTTTGAAAGGTTCATCAGCCGCACTTGAAAGTTAATACTTTTCTATGGATAAATCTTGGATTAGAAATCCAAGGAACACCACGGAATATTTATTTGGTTTAAATCAGTTTTTAGATTTTGCATTTGCTAATGTTATTGTTGGAGATAGAATAAAGTATCCTTGTCCTAAATATTGATTCGCAAAGTGGCAGACTAGAGAGGTAGCGCTTGATCATTTGATTTGCAAACCATTCCCTCAAAATTATGTCACTTGGAGTATTCATGGTGAAAGAAATATACTGCCTAATTCTATAAATAATGTGGTTATACAAGATACATTACCTCTTGAAAATTCAGTAGAATTATTAATCAATAAAGCATTTGGGAGCCTAAGACACGATGGGGTTGATGTAGGTCTGTCACAACTAGTGGGTGGTGAAGAAAGGTTAAATGATGAGTCTGCTTCAAATGATAAAGACTTTTTCGAGTTGCTTAGAGATGGAAGTCAAGAATTGTATGAAGGGTCCAAGTACTCAAAACTAGAATTTTTATTAAAATTGTATCACATAAAATATTTGTCTGGGCTAAGTGACAAGGGAATGACCATGATACTAGATTTGTTGAGGGACGCATTTACATTTGCACGGATCCCTCATTCTTTTTATGAGGCCAAGAAAACTATCAGCAAGCTTTGTCTTAATTATATCAAGATAGATGCTTGTCAAAATGATTGTATGTTATTTTGGGGGAATGATTCTAATGAGGAAACATGTAAGTATTGTCACACTTCTAGATGGAAGCCTAACAAGAAGATAAATGAAGATCTTGTGTCTTCTACAGGTAAGAAGAAAATCAAGAAGAAAACTAAGAAGCCTGCAAAGATTTTGCGTTACTTTTCATTAAAACCAAGGTTGCAAAGATTGTTCATGTACTCTAAAATAGCAAAATATATGAGATGGCTAGCTGAGGATAGTAACAAAGATGGAATTATGAGGTATCCTAGAGATGGTGAGGCATGGAAGAGGTTTGATATAACGTTTTCTGAATTTGCCTTTGATCCTCGGAATGTTCGGCTTAGCCTAGCTAGTGATGGCTTCAATCCTTTTGGCACGATGAGTACTAATTATAGTATTTGGCCAGTCATTTTAGTTCCATACAACCTTCCTCCTTGGTTGTGTATGAAACAACCCAATTTTATTCTCTCAATGATCATTCCTGGTCCACGTACGGTGGGAAATAATATAAATGTTTACCTACAACCCCTTATTAAAGAGTTGAATGAGTTATAGAGTGAAGGTGTCGAAACTTTTGATTCATCAAAGAAAGAGATATTTAGATTGTGAGCTGCTCTTATGTGAACAATTAGTGACTTTCCTGAACTCGATATCTTATCTGGTTGGAAGTCACATACTGGTTTAGTATGTCCCACTTGTAATTTTGATGCAAAACCTTGTCGGCTTTGCCATAGTAGAAAGTGGTGCTTTATTGATCATCGTAGAATTTTAGCAAGAAATCATAAATTTAGACTGATGAGACATCGCTTTGATGGAAATGTGGAGGAAAGAAACCCACCGAAAAAGTTATCCGGATCTGATATTTTGCAACAAGTAAAAGATATTGATGTTATATTTGGAAAATCGGCTGAGTTGAATGAGAGAAGAAAAAGATCTAGACAAAAAAATATTGGGCAAGGTGCAGCACAACAATGGAGGAAAAAAAATATATTAAAGAATCTTCCATATTGGGAGTTCAACTCGTTGCGCCACAATTTAGATGTCATGCACATCGAAAAGAATGTGTTTAATAATATTATATATTCTTTACTCAATGATAAAGACAAGTTCAAGACAGCAAGCTCTTTCATTTCAGGCCATGGGGCAGACAATTCCTTGCATTCAGCCGACTACTTCATTTCAGGCTACATCACTACCAACTCCTTCATTTCAAGCCACAAGACACCAAACCGCTTCATTTCAGGCCACAACACTGCCAACTCCTTCATTTCAGGTCTAGAGACAGACAACTCCTTCATTTCAGGCCACGGGACAGACAACTCCTTAGTTTCAGGCCACTGGACAGACAACTCCTTCATTTCAACCTCCAATTAATCCCACACTAGCACAAGCAACATCCAATTAGTGTGCTAAACGTGAGTCTTCACATCATTGGACTGTCGATGGAATAGGTAATCATTATCCTTCTTCGTCTTAATTCCTTCTTCTTAATCTGCTACATCTTTTTTGACTTTGAGAGATTGGTGGTGTGCATTTGGAATATTTTTGCTTTACTTAGATTAGATACACAGAAAGATGAAATTTTATTTTAGAATTGAAAGCATAGCAATCCAAAAAATTGAAAGTTACATAGCTGGTCCATCTAAGAAGTCTCTTTTTTCTTCACTAGTTGCTCTTCTTTTGTTAGAACAGTAACGCTAAGAAAAAACTCGTATTTGTGTTCTCCCAACAATCTGATATTTTCTTTCTCTCATGTTTTGTTGTATGAGAGCAAGATTATTGATGCTAGAATTAATAGTAGGATTTTTGAATAGACACAAGAATTATGTGATGAAATGGATAAAAGAGAAAGATCATTAGTTGTTAACATGTTAGTATAGAATGTGCCTTCTTGTATAGTTGTTTGAAAATGTAGACTTTTTCTGGGAAGAATTAGTATTTGAAAGCTTTTTCTGTTAAGTCCCCACAAACTGTTTGTTCAAACAGTTTTAAAATTTTAAGAATTCATTTGATTAACTAACAACAAACACAGTAATAGTATCTTTTAATATGGTCAAGTTGTTCTTAATTTCACAATAATAGTACCTTTCAATATAATAAATTATTCATACCTCTCTATACCATATCTCTTACCTTCACTTTTTGCTTTTATTTTTTATTTATTGAATATTCACATGGAGATATCAAAAGGCTCAAATTGAAGACTAGAGAAGTATTAAGTTTACCTCAGGGAGAACGTGTTGTGGTGGAGTTCGATTGCTTGGATCCGATTGGCAAAGCACAAGGCCTTCTTGCAGGCGTATGTGGCCTTTTAGCAACTGACTGTACCATATTTCCAATCGGCTTTAATAAATGGTCGGATATGCCTAAGTCATACTTTAACGACTGCTTTAATAACATTGTAAAGGGATAAGCTCTATATCTTTATAACTATATCTCTATTTTGTCTTTTGTTTTTATATTTGTATATAAAAGATAAATTAACCAAAATTTATTTTCGAAGTCTCATTTCTGTTTTATGACCATTGAGGAAGTTGCACGAGAATATGTTTATCGCTCTATTGTAAAGAAGTGGGTTGCAAGTAGGCAGAAGTTGTGGTATGAGTTTAAAGACCTACTTAAAATCAAAGATGAGATTATGGATAATGTTCTGGTAGGTATTACTCGGGATCAATGGACTTCCATTGTGAACTACCGTTATAAAGAAGAAACTCAGGTATTTTCTAAAATGTCACATTGAAATGCATAAAAATATGATTATTCATTTATATAATTGACTGAAATGTATCTTATTGTTAGAACATGCGTAAAAGAAATGCTGAAAATCGGAAGAAACAAACAGTTCCACACACCGGTGGCTCCAAACCTAATTCTAGAAGAAGAGCTGAAATGGTGAAAGTTGTCACATTATTTACCTTACTTTACTATTTAAATTTTAGATATTGTATCTATTTCTTTATCTTTAATTAAAATATTCTGACTTATCTTTATTTTCATACATAGATGGCTGAGACAGGGAAAAGTCTGGACGAGCAACACTTTATCTTGCTACACATACGAAAAAGATGGATCATATGTAAATGAGGAGGCAAAAGAAATATGTGTAAGTTACATTCATGATTGTTATAAATACAAATAATTTCCATGAACTTTAATAGATAAAAGATAGTTACATTACAGGCAATTGTTAATTTCAGTTACTTGATTTTTTTGATGTGTATTGTGTTTAGGAAAAAATTGAGCTAGCAGTGAGTGAAAGTACATTGGATGAGTCTGAAATTTCTCCAAATAATGTTGTTGGTAAGATGCTAGGCAAAGAGCATCCTGGAAGGGTGAGATGTTTGGGATTAAGAGCTACTCCAAGCAATACTTTCATAGAGACAAATCTTCGTCTTGGTAATATTAGAATTGTGAGTAATAATGTTGGATGTTCTTCTGGATGCCAAGAGAAGTACAATCAATTGATGATTACTCTCAAAGCATACATGATAATGAAGGAAGAGTCAATACCAGAACAATTTGCTGGGATCTTTGCTTCTCATCCTACAATGGTAAATGCTAACTTTTTTTGTTTTTGGTGTATTGTGCAATTTTATTTTTCATTTGTGAAGTGATGAGTGTCACTATGATAACTGATACGACTATGGAGTTTTGGGAGTGATATTGATCACATCAAATATCTTTACTTTTGATCTTGGTGGAAGTTCTTATACTCCCTCCTATTTTTGAGTATTTACTCTACCTAGAACCCTATATATCTAGCATGTATTCACCGTCTCCGACTAAAACTTTCTAGCTGTTTTTCAAGAAAATATGATAGGAATTTGAGCATAATATCATCAATATTTATATTTTTGAAGGTCTTAAGTGCTCTACTGATTCAAGCCGTAAACTTGCATTGAAGATGTCTAATTAAGACTGCTGCTTTCTTAAGGCCTAGTGTATTGAAAAGCTACCATCCCTGGTTCCCAAATGTTATATTATGTTAGCAGCCTCACTAATATTTCTGACAAACACCAAATGCAACAAATTGAGATGTACCTATTGATCTAAGTAAAAATAGACTAGTTCGGTTGAAAGTGTCTCGGGTTGAGCTGTCAGATATGTTTACCTACAGCTTATGAATTGATAATATGCTTTATTGCATATTTTAGTATGTTATATCTAAATGCATATGTTTCTGTTTTTGCTACATTCTTTGAGCATGGCTGTTTATAACTCATTGTGCATTGAGTAGCTGAGTTCTAATTACAGTGACAATTCTGTTGTATAGTTATGCATGAATTCAGTCATTGCCAACTCAAAATAGATAGAAATGATGTTATTTTGATGAACTGTAACTCCTCAAACCAAAGTATTCACTTATTGTGAAGACACGAGTCACTTCCTTTTCTTTTTCTTCTTATTTTTTGTATTCTGACATATCAAAGTTCAGGTACTGCACATTGTTTATGTCACAATTACACTTGGTAAATCATCGAAAGTTTTTGGAGTAGGAAGCGATCTGTCTGTATGGGCATTATGAGTTGCTTCTGTCTGCGTATCTCTGGATTGGTTGGAAGTGACTAACACCAGAGTATCTATTATTAGTTTGCCAGTAAAAAAATCTGATTAATTCATCTAATGGGGAGGACTACTAACTAGCAAAAAGATAACAAAAAATGTACTATACTTTCATAGGTCAGCAAAATCCAACATTGTTATCCTGATTCCAAATATATGAATAAATTTCCTTTATCGCTTTGCTAATCAGCAAGTGATCTAGGGATTCACATACCTCCAAATATGTGAGAACTACTGGATACGTTAGACTGGTAACTTAGGGTATGAACATCAGTCAACAATGCCCTCTATGCAATGATGCAGATGACTTTGCTCACAGTATCCATAAAAGTGATGTTGATGTGATGTTGAGCTTTTTAGATGAGACAACAGTTAGAGTTCTTTATTCCTTGTATAAAATTTATATTCTCTTTGATTTTGAGGTTTAGGATGAGTCATGTATAGTGAATTGTCCCTCCTGTAGCAGCAGACACAACTACAAGATGCATAAGTATTAGCTTTAAATTGTGGTCAGTTTTAATTTGTAAATATTTCGATGATTTTTAAGTTGTGTACTTTGCTGCAAGGTCTTTAAATTGATAGTTGAGTTTAGGGGAGTGGAGAGTGAGGTTCATGTGGATCCCCCCATATTAAATATTTGGTCAGTTTTAATAGTTTTATTTTTTTTTTTTACTTTTTGTTGCAGCCAAGTGATGCAGCTAGTGGACCCGTTTCACCGACGGATGCAAGAAGATCTTCTGGCGCTAGTAATCTCAGTGACAACCATTGAGATTCATTTTAATTGAAATGGATGTATTAGGACAATGTAATAGCTGACTAATATAGATGATTAACTATGTTCTAATTTAGCTTGATGGCATATGATACTACTCTGTCACAATATTTTTCACTGTTAATGAAATATTGATGTTTCTTAATTTTAATGTTTTGGTTTAAGCATAAATATCTCAATTGATATTAGGGAAAACGTATGGCATATTGATGATAAAAATCAATTATATAATATATTTAAAAATAGATGAGGTTAAAACCCCCAAAAAGAAATTGAAGAGATTCTGATGGTGTACATAAGAAATTGTGGGGGTTTACAACCCCTACACTCAAAAAAAATTAAATTTTAAAAATTAAAATCTATTTTCGCGCATGAAATTACAGAGGTTAAAATTATAGTTTGCGGAGGTTAGAAACCTCCGCTATTTGCTGTCACGACGGTTCGGAAAATCCCCGCATTTATCTGCCGCAAATTAATAGTGGCGCTGCTTACTACAGGGGTCTGCTCAACCGCAGTGACAGCAAATAGCGGAGGTTTCTAACCTCCGCAAACTGCAATTTTAACCTTCCCAATTTTCCTATTTTTTTGTAGTGATCCATGGGCTATTTATTGTGGAAACACTATTATTATTGACTTCTTTGGCAAGTTGTGGTATTGGGCACTTGAGGTGCGATTCGTGATATGTTGTGATATTGATACACATACGGTGGTATAAGGATTTGGGATTGAAACACATGCGGTGAGATAAGGTGGGCTTGATATGCGTGTTGCTAGTAGGAGAACTACTTGAAGCCACGCAATATGATAAGGTGGGCTAAAACGCGGGTAGCTATTTCGGAAAAATGATTTTTTGCAAAACTATATGCAAGGCTCCCGCGGTGATATAAGGAAAGATTGTGATTTGATTTGTGAAATGAGACTACGAGGCGGTACATCGATAGTGATTCTCGTTGATACCTTTCAATTACATCACTTATGTTTTGTTTGCATTGTTTCTTTGGCATTTTATTCTTTATTTTCTTCTGTGATGTCTTAATTGCCTTAGTTCAGTGTAGCTGTTCTAGTTGTATTTCTTTATTGGATCATTTCCATTGTTTTTCATTATCTTACTGTCATATATACCTGTTCAGTTTTCTTATTTATTCCAGTAGGATCTTGACCTAACATCGTCACTACTCCACCGAGGTTAGGCTTGATACTTACTGGGTACCGTTGTGGTATACTCATGCTATACTTTTGCACATCATTTTGTGCATATCCAGGTACCTCTTACCAGCCTAGGCACCAGTGAGTCGAGCTCGGATTTGGAGACTTCAAGATATACCTGTCGGCGTCCGCAGGCCTCGGAGTCACCCTCTATCTAGTTCTATTTCATTTTCTTTTTTTTATGGATATTGTTGTATAGATATGTTCATTATACTCTTGTAGAGCTTGTCACTTAGTATCACCGGATTTTGGAAGTTTTGTTTTGTTTAGTTGCGGAGTCCTTTTTATGATAGTTTTTGAGTAATTTGAAAGTTTTTATCATTTTCTCAGTTAAATTTTGCATGTATGTTAGGCTTACTTAGTCTTAGAGACTAGGTGCATCACGACATCCTACAAAGAGAAATTTGGGGTCGTGACAAGTTGGTATCAGAGCTCTAGGTTCACAAGTATTACGAGTCACAAGTAGGTTTAGTAGAGTCTCGCGGATCGGTATAGAGACGTCTGTACTTATCTTCGAGAGGCTATGGAACTATTAGGAAAAACATCACTTCTTTGATTCCTTATCATGCGAATTTGTTGACTTCGAATTCTGAAACTTTGTCTTTCTATTCTCTTATAGATGATGAGGACACGCACCGCTAGATCCGACAATCAGACACCCGGCGCCCCCTGCTAGAGCCACGAGAGTCCGGGGCTGAGGCAGAGGCTGAGAAGGGGCACGTAGTGCAGCTAGAGCACCTGCTCGAGCTGTGACTGAGGAGCCACCAGTAGCTCCAGTTGGGGGGCAGGCACTTGAGGAGCCTGTTGCTACCCCTACACTTCAGGAGACTCTCGCCCAGTTCTTGAGCATGTTTAGTACTCTAGCTTAGGCGGGGTTGATTCTACTTGCACCGGTCACACCTTAGGCTAGAGGAGGAGCACAGACTCCCACGGCCTGTACCCTAGAGCAGTGGATCCATATTGACCGGGTCCTAGAGGTTATACCAGTGCATCTGATTGTCCCAGTTCAGCCCGAGGTTAGGGAAGCAGCATCTGAGAAGGAGCACCTCAGGCTCGAGAGGTACAAGAAGTACCATCCTCCTACTTTCAACGGCCTAGATACAGAGGACGCGCAGGGCTTTATAGAGAAGTGCCATTATATTCTCTGTACCATGGGTATAGTGGAGATGAGCAGGGTTGCTTTCACTACTTTTTAGTTGTCGGGACCAGCATACCTGTGGTGGCAGTCTTATGAGGAAGGTACCCCCGCCGAGGCAGCTTCACTCACCTAGACTCAGTTTTTAGAGATGCTCTTGAGAGAGTTTGTTCCCAGATCTTTCAAATGGCACGTATAGTTTGAGCAGTTGCGCCAGGGTGCTATGACCGTGTCAGAGTATGTTGTCAGGTTCAATGAGTTTTCCAGGGCATGCACCTGCCTTAGTTTCCACAATCAGAGAGCGGGTCTATCGATTTATCGAGGGGCTCAACTATCGTATTAGATTTAACATGGCTCGAGAGTTGGATAATGTACCCCATATCAGTAGGTGGTAAATATCGCACGGAGATTGGAGGGTATGCGAGGCCGGGAGAGGGAGGACAGGGAGGCCAAGAGGCCTCGAGATTCTAATGCTTATAGTGGTGCCCGTGCACTAATTGCAGCCCGTCATGGTAGAGGCTATGTGAGCCGTCTAATTCATTCAGCACTTCCAGCTTCCAGTGGTATTTTAGCTACTCCCAGGTCTCAGGTTGCCCATTATGCACTGCCACTGTCTAGTGCACCTCCTGCACGGGGTGCTTTTAGCGATCAGTCCAGCCGACCAGGCCCGAGCCAATTTCAGAAGCCACGCCCTCTGAGAGCTTGTTTTGATGATGGCGATACTCGTCATATGGTGAGGGACTGCCCTAGACTCAGGAGGGGTGCACCTCCACAGACTATTCAGGCTCCACGTATTCCACAGGGTCCCCAGACTTCTTAGGTTGTGGTAACCGCACCAGTTGCCGCTCCACCTGCACAGCCAACTAGGGGTGGAGGCCAGGCGGGTAGAGGTCGTCCTAGAGGAGGAGGTCAGGCCAGATGTTATGCTCTTCCGAGTAGGATGGAGGCGGTTACATCAGAAGCAGTTATCACAAGTACTGTTCCGATTTTTCATAGAGATGCATCGGTCTTATTTGATCTAGGCTCCACTTATTCATATGTATCATCTTACATTGCTCTGTATTTGGGTATATCTCGTGATTCTTTTAATTCTCCTATCTATGTGTCCACGCCTATGGAAGATTCAATTATTGTTGACCGTGTGTATCGATCATGTTTAGTTGTTATTAGTGGTTTTGAGACCAAAGTTGATCTATTGTTGCTCAGTATGGTAGACTTTGATGTTATTTTTGGCATGGACTAGTTGTCGCCCAATTATGTTATTCTTGATTGTCATGCCAAGACGGTAACATTGGCTATGCCAGGTTTATCGTAGTTGGAGTGGAGAGGTACTTTAGATTATGTTCCTAGCATGATGGTGTCTTTCCTTAAGGCACATCAGATGGTTGGGAAGGGGTGTGATACATATCTAGCCTTTGTGAGAGATGTCATTATTGATACTCCTACCATTGAGTGAGTTTTGGTAGTGAGAGACTATCCAAATGTATTCTTGGCGGATCTTTCGGGTATGCCGCCCGATAGGGATATCGATTTTGGTATTGACTTATTGACGGGCACTCAGCCTGTTTATATTCCACCATATCATATGGCCCTAGTGGAGTTGAAGGAGTTAAATGAGCAGTTGCAAGAGTTGCTGGATAAGGGTTTCATTCAACCCAGTATGTCACCTTAGAGTACTCCGGTCTTGTTTGTAAAGAAGAAGGATGGTTCTATGCACATGCGTATTAATGATTGGCAGTTGAATAAGGTTGCAGTGAAGAACACGTATCCATTTCCATGCATTGATGACCTATTTGATCAGCTATAGGTTGCTAGAGTGTTCTCCAAGATTGATTTGCGGTCAGGTTATCACCAGCTAAAGATTCAGAATCCAGATATTCTGAAGACTACTTTCAGGACTCTGTATGGTCACTACGCATTCCTTGTGATATCATTTGGACTGACCAACGCCCCTACAGCATTCATGCACTTGATGAACAATGTATTGCAGCCCTATCTTGATTCATTCATTATTGTGTTTATTGATGATATCTTGGTGTACATCCGGAGCCGGGAAGATCATGAGCAGCACATGAGGATCGTGCTCCAGACCTTGACGGAAAAGATGTTGTATGCAAAGTTTTCAAAGTGTGAATTTTGGCTTGATTCAGTGGTATTTTTGGGTCATGTGGTTTCGAGTGAGCGAATCAAGGTGGATCTGAAGAAGATTAAAGCAGTGCAGAGTTGGCCTAGACCGTCTTCAACTACTGAGATGTGGAGTTTTCTTGGCTTGGCGGGGTATTACCATTGTTTGGTAGAGGGTTCCTCGTCTATTGCTACACCTATGACCAGATTGACCCAGAATAGTGCTCCGTTCAGATGGACCGAGGAGTGTGAGGAGAGTTTTCAAAAGCTCAAGACTACTTTGACTACAACCCTAGTGTTGGTGTTGCTTACTGGTTCAGGGTATTACACTATGTATTGTGATACGTCACGTGCTAAACTCGGCATGGTGTTTATGCAAGACGGTAGGGTGATTGCCTATGCGTCTAGACAGCTGAAGATGCATGAGAAGAATTATCATGTCCACGACCTAGAATTAGCAGCTATTGTTCATGCCTTGAGGATTTGGCGGCACTATTTGTATGGTGTCCCTTGTGAAGTCTATACTAACCACTGTAGTCTACATCATCTGTTCAAACAGAAGGATATTAACTTGCGGCAGCGGAGGTGGTTAGAGCTTCTTAAGGACTATGATATCACCATTCTATATCATCTCGGGAAGGACAATGTGGTGGCCGATGCCTTGAGTCAAAATGCAGAAAGCTTGT